AATCCAGAAAAAGAAAATGTTGTGTAGAATAATAGAATTGCAATACAAACAACTTCTCGCTGAGGGTCACATCAGAATTCCTCACGGAATCGGAGATAAAAAGGAAAATAACAAAATCGCACTGAAGGATCCCCCTTTAACCCCTCTTAGCCCCTTTAAAAACAATTTATACCCCACTTTCCTCCCCTTGACAGCCAACTCTCAAAAAATGAAACGAGCCCGGGGGGCTCTGGCAGAGGGCAGAAAGGCTTTTTCTTTGTTTGTTTGTTTGTTTTTCACGCCCAGGTGCCCAACCGTGCATGAAAAATTTCCTAGAAAAGAACTTGTGTTATGCAGAAAAATGAACTGAACAGTGAACAACTTTTTTTTTCTTTTTTTCTTTTTTTTTTTAAGAACACAGACAGCCTAATGTCGTATGATCCAGGTTCTTCGGCCTGGTTCATACGACGGCTGCTTTTGACTTTTGCCTCAGGCTCACATCGAACTTCTTTAACAAATTAAAGAAAAAATTATTTATATAATGTGAAACTCCGACGAAACAGTTTGTCACAGCCCCTCGTTTGTTGTCCTCTTCTCCCTCTCTGCCTACGGTTTACCAGGCAGTTCTATTTGACGATATATATATATATGCCCTCTTCTCCCTCTCTGCCTACGGTTTACCGGGCAGTTCTATTTGACGATATATGTCCTCTTCTCTCTCTCTCTCTGCCTACGGTTTACCGGGCAGTTCTGTTTGTGACGATATATATATATCGGTTTGACGATATAGTAGGTGAAACTCTGATAAAGTAGGTGAAACTCTGACGAAACAGTTTGTCACAGCCCCTCGTTTGTTGTCCTTTTCTCTCCCTCCCTCCCTGCCTACGGTTTACCGTAGGCAGCTCTGTTTCACAATATATATGCTAGGGTTCCGCCTCCTGATGATTGTCACAGCCCCTCGTTTGTTGTCCTCTTCTCCCTCTCTGCCTACGGTTTACAGGGCAGCTCTGTGTTGACTATGTATGCTAGGCTACCAGCTACCAGCTGGGCCGCCCGGGTCACGCCGTTTTCCCGGGTGGCCCGGCCGTGCAAGGACCAGGGAAGGTCCCAGCAAAAAAAAAAAAAAAAAAAAAACGAAAAATCCGAAACAAAAAACTATATTATGCAGGAAATTAAACTGAACAACTTTTTTTTTTTTTTTTTTTTTTTTTT